TGACAAGCAGCTTGATCTAATCAACTCGATTGTGCAGGATGAACTGCTGAAGTCCACGCTCGTGGAACAACCGCCAGTAAATGCCGACGAGGATATACCAAAACTTGTTAAAATGCTGGAGAGCACAGCGGCGGATCTGGTTCCCGCACAAGGGTCCTTGCCCACGCAAAACTTTGCAGCTTCCGAGGTGCAGGGTGTACAAAACCCAGCTGGAGTAGATCCTATTGACATCATGGCGACGGCTGACGAGGATGAGATTACGGCAGATTTCCTCCAGCACGTGGTCGGCCTCATCGAGGAGGACAAACAGTTTGAGGCCGAGGTGGTAAAGCAAGTGCTGGCCAGCACCGAGCCAGGAACCCTGGATGACATTGTTTCGTTGCCTACGCCCGTAATCTTATCACAAGCACCTACTGTTCAGGTAGGAGTATAGGTTCCTATATTTGATTTTATAGATTAACTTTATAAATATTCTTTCAGACACAAGCGAACCTGCCCTCTCATGCAGTTCTTGCAGAGCCCATTCAATCCTCGATGCCCATCGCCTGCAGTACACCCTCGAGGAGCGTGGTAACCCCTATGCCTACCTCAGCAAAGGTTGTGCGTGGCAACGGTCGGGTCATTTACTTGCCTCCCATGGAAGCGCCCACCACGCGTGCCAAGCGGCGGGCACAGGCTCCAGGCTCGGGAGTAGCCTCGACTAGTTCTGGGGATCTGAGCAACATGTCCTTTGGTGAAACATCTCTGGATTCAAGCATTTCTCAGCTTGCCAACACTAGTAGCCTGAGCAATGACAGCCAATCGGGAGTTGGGCCAAAACGACCCAATCCCAGAGAGCCTTCGCTGGCCAGGCGCTCAACGGTGCCTAGGCGATCGAAGAAGCTTAACACGAGTCAGAGCAATGATCCCGAGGCTTCAGAATCTCAGGAGGATGACGACGACCCCAACAAGTAAGCTTACTTTGATTATTTTGAGTTGCAATTTTAATAACCATTTATCTTTCATTCTAGGCTCTGGTGTATTTGTCGTCAGCCGCACAATAATCGTTTCATGATCTGCTGCGACTTGTGTGAGGATTGGTTCCACGGTACTTGCGTGGGGGTGACCAAGGCAATGGGCACGGACATGGAACAGAAGGGCGTCGATTGGAAGTGCCCAAAATGTGTTAAAAAGCAGGAGGAGAAGGTAAAGTTATTAGATTTCTTGGAGCTTGTTTACATTAACTGATCATTTAACTTTCCAGAACCAACCACGGATAACGGACATGTTGGTCATCAAAACATCCGCACAAGCTGAGGAAAAACCAAATGAAACCAAAGTACTCCCCTCGTCAGCGGAGATTGTTCAAGTTACGACCCCTTCAACGCCCAGAAGAACACTGCCTGTGGGTTTTACCGTAGCCAGCACACCCATGCGTATCCCCACGATAAAGCCGGCCAAGAAATTCCCAACCGCTTCAATCCCACACCAGCAGCAGCAGTTAAACTTCATTAAGTTGGGACCATCCCCATCTAATCGCATATCGGAATCGATTTGTGTGGTCTGCAAGCGGCCGGCGAACTCCAATTCTGTTTATTGTGGGGAAGAGTGCATACGGAAGTATGCCCAAAACACCCTTCACTTGCTCACCGCGAACAAGGGTCCAGATAGTCCGGTGCCACACAATGCCAGCGTCCAATCGCCATTGAACAACTCCCTGGAGGCGAAGAAGAACAAGAAAAAGGATTTGTTCGAGGACGTGCTGAGACAGGCGGACTCTGTGTCGAAAGTGGAACGGGTAAGAAACTAACCACCATGTCCGCAACTTGAATTGTACAAGAACACACTCCTTTTAGATAAATGTGTTTGAGCGTAGAACTGGTCGAGTAATTACCGGGCACTTGGCACCAGCCGCTCACCAGTTCCGGAAATGGCTTCAGGAGAATCCCACCTTCGAGGTGCTGCCCTCGGGAACACTTCAGTCAATCGACACAGAGGTGAGTCTGGTTTAACTGTATAAGCAAAGTAAGGCATTGTTTGTATTGACAGAGGCGGCCGTTGAAGCGAGCACCGGAATTATCCACCTCTGCTGAATCTGTCGCACTGACTGTCCCAAAAAAGCCACTTGAAGCTGCGACCAAGATAACCCAACCAGTCGCAGTTCAGGTCAGCCCACTGGGAATCTCTTCCATGCGTCCCTTACCCAAAAAGGACAAGGAGAAAGAGAAGCCCTCGCCTCCAGCGCAGGTGGCCACTCCTAGTCGAAGCACAGGCAAACCCGAGCCAGTTCGAATCGGCATTCGGCGATCCCTGAGGGAGCAACTGCTAGCGCGAATCAAGGAGGCCCAAGCTGCGGAGCAGACCACAAGCCAGACAGCAACCCAGTGGCTGACAGCGCTCGAAGTGGATCAGTTCGTCAAGAGCGTGGAATTGGAAATGTTCAACTCGTTTGGACGAGACGTGGGAGCCAAGTACAAGGCCAAGTACCGGTCGCTTATGTTTAACATCAAGGATCGCAAGAACCGGACCCTGTTCGAAAAGATATGTGCCAAACAAGTGGAGCCCAAGCAGCTGGTGAGAATGACGCCTGAGCAGTTGGCCAGCCAAGAGTTGGCCAAGTGGCGAGAGGAGGAGAATCGCCACCAGCTGGACATGATCAAGAAATCCGAGCTGGACATGCTGTCATGTGCCCAAAATTATGTCGTGAAAACCCACAAGGGGGAGGAGGTGATAGCCACAAAGGTGGATGTTGCGCTGCCCGAAGAGGACCTCAACGAGTCATCAACGGTTGACACAAAGCAGACGTCGCTGGTAAGTGAACCGGATACTTCCATACTGGAACGTTCCACCTCCAGGGAGAAGTCGGGGTCATCCAAGGAGAAGCGCCACAAGAGCCACAAGCACCATCACCGAAAACGGAGTCGCAGTCGTTCCAATAGTCGGGGTCGAAACGTCGAGAAGCGCCATCGCAGGCACCACAACGATGGAGAGTCAGGTGGAGGAGAACGAGAGCATCGATCCCGCGAGAAACAGAGCCGGGAAAGAGACGAGATTGTTCCCTCGCCCTTGCTTAAGAAGCGAGAGGAAAACAATCAATCGCCGGCGCCCAAGAAGGTGCCGGAAAAAAAACAGAGCCGAGTGCCTACAACCTGATCGATCAAATTTTGGAATCTGAGAAAACAGTTGAGCAGGCGGCGAATCTAGGGAAACCGAAACCGTCACCCAAGCCGCTTCCAACGCTTCCCAGTTCTACAAAGGCTACAGAGCCAACGGATAACTACTCCCGCTACGTGCAAGGCCTGACCATGAGTTCACTGTGGTCCGGCACGCTAAAGATGATCGATCTGGCCGACTTTGAGATGGTAATGTACCCGGTGCAGGGTAACTGCCACCAACTAGGTAACCTAATGCCCAGCCAGATGGACGTTATCGGCCGCATCACCCGCGTAAATGTTTGGGAGTACATAAAGAAGCTGAAAAAGAGTCCCACCAAGGAAGTTGTCATTGTGAATATATTCCCTGCATCGCCCAGCGAGACGCGCAAGTTCGATCTCTTCTTCGAGTACCTTGACTCGCGCCAGCGGCTGGGCGTCTTGGGAGTGGATTCAGATCAGATTCGGGACTTTTACATATTCCCGCTGGGCACCGGCGATGATTTGCCGCCAGCGCTGCAGACCTCGGAGTCAGTTCCCTTCTACGAGGATGCCCAAAGACCGAATACACTCCTTGGCATCATCGTACGCTGTCTGAGCAAGCGACCTGCAGAAGTTCCGCCGACACCATCAGTGCCTTCCCCGGTTCCCGTTGCAAGCAGCAAGGTGGCAAGGGTGAGCCATTTTTAACTGCAAGCTTAACCAACTTGATTTAAACTACTATCTCCCTCGCAGAAATCTCGCAGCACGTTCACGGCCCAAAACAGCCCCAAACGCAAGGCAAGCACCCACTCGACCAGCTCCAAGGATGATGAGTTCGATATCGATGCCATTATCAAGGCGCCAATAGCAAAGCTGCAAAAGAGTAAGTATAAGCTGGAAGGCATTTGAAGGGCTTATCTTAATGGCTGCCTCTTTCAGCTGTACCTAAAACGGTGCCCCCGCCACCGGTGATTAACGATGCCGATGAACCCTACTCGCCTGGCGGCTCTGACGACGAGTTGGTGCCGACTGCTCCAAGCGATCTCGAGTGGCGTGTGAATGAAATCAACAAACAAATAGCCGCGCAACAGATGGAAATAGCCGGCCTGCTTAAAGTGGATCCTTCCGTAAGTGCTGGATTTAGACAGTTTGGTATTTCGTGGCTCTCATATTGATTTTCGTTTTCCTGCAGGGATCTGCTTCCTCATCGAATGTACTAGCCGGCATATCAATTCCACCAAATCTCTCGAAGATCCTGGCCAGCATCAAGGACAAGACGGACCTGCCCTCCAATGCTGGCGAGGGGAATGAGGAGTACAATCCTGAGGACGCCATCACCACGACCAGTTCATTCAGTAAGTAAGCTAGTTTCCACTCAATTTTGAGTATTATCAACGATTCCTTGCAGCAGCAAAGCCGAAGAGCAAAGGTCGTTTGGCGCATCTAAGTGAAGCTGAGCTTCTTAGCATGGTGCCGGACAATATGGCAGGCGTGATACCCAGCTCGTCAAAGACCCGCCAGCTTCCTCCACCGCCACTTCCACCACCACCGCCGCCGCCTCCGGGTGTTTAAGAAGCTCCACCTGGAAGAAGGCTAACCCGCGCGCTAATCCTCTAATCGTTATTAGTTTCTGAATGAAATTCACGACACTTGCTTTGAAATTGTCCTCGCCTCTCATTGTGTACATTCTCATCCAGCGAGCTCTATACCATCTCTGTATTATATCTGGCCAATTGGAACCATTTAGTTTTCAAAACCCCACCCCACGCCAATTCGCACATTAACAGGATCATCATTCGCATTGCAATGCAAGTTAAGAATCGGTTTTCATTTCATCCTCTATCAAATCCTGTACATTTCCTGGAAAATAAAAAATGCTACGTAACATTTGTTTTAGGGATACGATACTCGGACCGATTCTCTTTATTTCTGGCAGGACGCCTTAGTTGACCTCGCAGGGATCGTCTTTGCCGCTGAAGTGGGCGCACGTGATCTTGGGACCGTTGTGCACCCTGGGAATGGCGATCCGGAAGAGTGTTCCATGTGGCATGCACACACAGATCTTGTACTGGACACTGCCCGTGCGAAGTCCCAGCTCTGAGCTGACGATGGGGATGCGCTCCATGTCCAGGAAGATGCCCGTCCCGGCCTCCAAGATGGTGGCGCCCTGTGTGGAGTTTATCAAGACGTGGTGCTCGGCCTGAAAATCAACGCTGGCTCCGTCGAAGTAGACGCCCTCGGAGCCCCTGATGGCCATGCGTCCGTCGCTCTCCAGGACAAGGGACTCGTCAATGGGACTCGCGATGCCGCTGGCACTCAACACCTTGGCCTGTAACGCCTCCACTCCGCCCGGAATGTTATACTGCGGACGGTGGGTGGTGAAAATGGGTTGCTTATCGATCGGGTCCTTGACCTCAAACAGATTTGTGGCCTGGACAAGGATGCCCTCTCTGTTCAAGACAATCCTATCGCGTTCGTTCGTGGCTCCATTGCCATTTCGAAACACCCGCACGTTGACGCCGCCTTCCCCCTCGCCGGCATCACTGCTGATGGTCACCGGGACGTCTGAGAAGCCATGGATCTGGCCGATCGAGTTGGTCTGCACCCGCTCCAAGTCCGTGGAGCCGTAGAACTTGACCACATCAACCTCGGGAATCACCTCCATTCCCTGGACGCCTTTTCCCAGGCGAAGAACACCCACAATAGTGAGTGTCAGGATCAAATTGCCCACGGTCAGGACCAAGAGGAGAACCACGATGGTCCAGAAGGCGAAGGTGTTGCGCCCCTGGTGGCCGGGATGCAGGCGAGAGCAGCTGTCGCTGTTGTACTTCTCGTCAAAGTAGTCGCCTGTATCCGTCTTGGAGTCGTCGCGACAGAAATCCAAATCCGGAATTGTTGCCCCGATGGGAAGAGTAACGGACAGCGCGTTCTCCGAGTTAGCATCGTCGGAATAGGACGGCGAGGGTCCCCGGATAAAGGTGTTCTCAAACGTGTTCATCATTATATCGGGATATTCTGAGTGTGTTCCTCTCGAAAAACCGTTTTCGCAATTGCTGTATCCAGTGGAATAAAAATAGTGAATGTACATATGAGGTATACCATTCTCTGACATGCGCAGAGATTCCAAGCCGCTAAATTTTGAATATTTTCAATACTGTAAATTGGGAAGATTTCTAAAATAATTTTATGGGATAAAAAAAAACTGTTATTAAAGAACAACAAATAAGTTATTGTGTATGCACCAAAACGCTTTTTTAATAACTCGTTTAAGAACACCTTTAAATCTGTTACTTTTCCTTCTGGTTATATGGTTTTAATCATTATGTACGAACTTATACCCAAAAGCATAGAAATAATTTAAATTGGACCCATGCGATTATTAGTTTTCTGGTGACCCTGGTATCGTGAAAAATAACGTTTATTTAAACTAGCTTAATTTGCAAATCAAATCTTGTAAGTTAAAATATAAAATATAATTCATTGATATATATTTTATTTTTGCAGAGAATACATTTTTTTTATTCAAAGCAATAGGAAAACCTTCAATATTTTTTTAAGGAAAGACATGCCATATTATGTAAAAACTTCTTTAATCGTTTTGAAATTCTTTAAGTTAAAAGAAAATGTTTTAAAAATAAATTTTTTTAAATGGACTGGAACCGAACTAGTTCCGCTTTAATGATGGGTCTGCAGCCCTGGTTTCCCTTGAAGGCTTGACTTTGGTATATTTCGAAGTTGTAGTTTCGGTCATACCACCTGTCTCCATTTTTGCAAAGATGTCCTTTAAGGTGAGCTTTTGCCGAAAATTGTAATGCCACTGACTAACCCCAATTCCTCCACGATGACGCAGCCCATTGATCCGAAGCGCGACGAGATCCGGCGTTACCTGGAGCGCGGCAGCGTTCTGGACTCGCTGACCAAGATCTTCATACGCGTGATTAAGGAGAGGCCCGAGAATCCGATGGAGTACATCCGGAACCACATCGGCGTGGTGCGCCACCAGCACGACAAGTACGAGCGCCTGCAGCAGGACCTGCAGCTGGCCAACGACGAGATCCAGCGGCTGCGTGGCATCATTAACAGCATCAATCCGGAGGTGCTCCAGGGCCACCAGCCCTTAACCATCCCAACTGAGGTGGTGTCTCCCGAAGCACAGGAGGTCGCTGCAGAGCCAACTGAAGTCGCGGAGCTCCAGGAGAACGGGGAGAACAGCCCAGAGAAACCTGGAGAAAGTCCACCAGCCGTTGCCGAGGTTACAGCTGCCTTGGAGGCCTGCCAGGTGGAGGAGAAAGCGGAGGCCACCAAGGAGGAGGTTGCCGCTCAGCCAAGCCCATCCGTCCAAGTTGAGGCCAGCAGCTCCAACGAGTAGATCTCGAAAGCCAGCAGCTCACTAGATCACACCAAAAACATCCCATTAGAACGCATCCATTTAGAACAAATGTTAAGTATTTTCCTAAATGTAAATGTAAATAAAGCGAAATTAAAAACTGAAGCGAGTTATGGATTTTTCAAATGTTTATTGAAATCAGTTTCATAATTCATACACGTTTTATATCATTTGTTTATTAATACAAAGGATTATTGATAATACATATTAATAATAGTTAATTTTTAAAAAAACACATCTTAAAAATGACGGGGGAGAGGGTCGTATTGATTGATGGCGACGAACGGAAAGGAGTTTTGGAGGCAAAATAAAAAATTTCATTGATTTCGGTGCAGGTATTTTCCTGGGGGGTCCGGTCCATTTGGTCGGACTGCATGTGGACGAACAAAAAACTGATTCAAGGTCGAAACTTAGTGTATATTTCATTCTTGGCAAGCGTTCTCCTCCTCTGTTCAACGATTTCCCTTCTTCGATTTTTCTCGTTTTGTTTTGCTTTATACTCTTAAGGCCAAAGAGCGCTACGGGGCCCCCTTTCTATATGCATGCTTTTGTGACCGACTGAGGTCCAGCCACTCTCCGTACACCTAATCCAATATTATGCTGGGTGCTCTGCTTGTACGGACCTGTTTACCTAGTGTTTAAAATTTGGACAAAACCTATAATCGCAGGTGTGGGTAGGCAATGTGTGTGTGTGAGTGTGGGTGGATGTTGGTCGGTTGATATACCAATATATATATAAGTATATGCGGGGCTATTAAAAATAAATATGTATGTGGCTTTTAATCATGGTATTTGTCAATGTGTTTTTGTAATTGCGAATCAAATCTCAATGGGGGAAAGGAAAAACTTCATTCTTCTGCTTGGGACCCAGGATGATGTCCTTTGATCGAGGCGCAGCTCCTCCATGCATTCGCTGGCTGTCCGAATTGTTGAGGGATTTTCATGCGGATTTCGACTCGCCCCGGCTGCCGATGATAAGTGACCAAAAACAGAGATAAGGTTGGGGTGAGTGTGTGATTCACTAGGTGATTTGTTCGATTCTAGGCGTTAGCAGCCCACACTTACGTTTCATCCATGATCTGATGTGTTGTTTCAAAGCATTTTATTTCTGATTGTTTTGTTTTTCTTGTGTTTGTTGTTGTTGGTGTGTTTCGTTTTGTTTTGTTTGTTTCTTGGGTTGGTTGATTTTCTTATTGATTTGTTTTATATAGAAAAAGACTGCTCGTGGTGCCGCAAGTGTGTGATATTACTTTTTACGCTTGTCAGCCGGCTTGAGGATCTGGAACGAGCACATCAGCGTGTCGTCCACGGACATCATGGCTCCGGCGTTGTCGAACTCGCCGCAATAGTTGGGCGCCGAGAAGAGGGTGACCAGCTGGCGCTTGGCAAAGAACTCGTACCCATCCTCCACGACCTGATGGGCTCGGCAGATGAGATCGAACTCGTGCTTCTGCAAGAACTTGGCCACCACCTCGGCTCCGAAGGTGAAGCTGACGCCGCGGTCGTTCTCGCCCCAGCCCATGGTGTCCTTGTCGGGATCGGACCAGAGCAGATCGCACAGCAGTCCCTGGTCGGGTACGTCGGTGGGGCGCATGATGCGACGGATCTGCTCCATGGAGGTCAGATCGGGACTGAGGCCGCCGTGGCAGCAGAAAATCTTCTCATCGACAATGGCCGCCACCGGCAGGCAGTTGAAGCAGTCCGTGAAGGTCTTCCACAACTTGATGCTGTAGCGACGCTTGCACTCGTCGTAGAATCCGTATATGCGATTGATGCTGGCGCACTCGTGGTTGCCGCGCAGCAGGAAGAAGTTCTCCGAGTATTTGATCTTGTAGGCGAGCAGCAGGCAGATGGTCTCCAGCGACTGCTTGCCGCGGTCGACGTAGTCGCCCAGGAAGAGGTAGTTCGACTCCGGCGGAAAGCCGCCGTACTCGAACAGACGCAACAGATCGTAGTACTGGCCGTGGATGTCGCCGCAGATCTTGAGCGGGGCCTCCAGCTCGAGCAGAATGGGCTGCGAGAGGAATATCTCGCGCGACTTGAGGCACAGGGCCCGGATCTCGCTTTCTGAGAGCTGTACGTTCTTGCCTGGCCGTGCCCCACGCACCTCCAGAAGTCGCGATATTATGCTGTCGATGTTCATCACGTCGCCCATGTTTGCTTTGCGTTTGCGTCTTGAGTCCGGGGAATTGGTGCACTGCTGCTGCTGCTGCTGGGTGTCGAGGTTGCCGCGAACGATGGTTAGTAGCGCCGAAATAGCCTCGAAATCTGTAGTTTCCCAAAACTATTTCTGCTAAATACTTTTCACAGCTAACTAGTATGAAAATTTCTCCAGTGTGTCCACATTACATTGACGGAGCAGCAGGAAGGAGCGAAACAGGCAGTTAGTCATGCCTCGACTCGCATGGTTGTCCCTGTCTCGCTTGCTCGCTGCCCTTCTGCGTCGTGCCGTTTTGCCTGGGTGCGAGCGGGATGGCTGGTGTGCATGTGGCAAAATGGCCCCATCGCCGGAAAAAGAATGTGTGGCCAGACCTAAGACGCCATCTTACCTAGTCGATTATTACTAGGGTTGTGGTTTGGGCGGGCTATCGGGTAGGCGGCTGTTTATCGCTTTTCAAAATTGTTAACTTTTATTGCGTTGATATTTCACTTTCTTATTACCTGGTAAAATCTTTTTTTGTCCTCTTGGTGAATTAAATGTAGGTTTAAGACCATTGGTTTTTAATTTTAAGACTTTACTCGATATGCCATTCGATAAGTTTACTGCCTACGCCCGTCTATCATTTAATTAACTGATAAATTAGGGGGTTTGAATTTTATAAAATGCTATAACCGATATTATAAGCGGAAAAGTGGCAAATGCCGTCTATGTTATTGCGGAAATCGGGCAGAACCACCAGGGCTGCTGGACACGGCCAAGAATATGATTTGCAAGGCCAAGAAAGCCGGCTGCCATTGCGTAAAGTTTCAGAAATCCGATTTGACAGCTAAGTTTACGCGATCCGCTCTAGATCGTGAATATCTCAGCGATCACGCATGGGGAAGAACTTACGGGGATCACAAGGAGTACCTGGAGTTCTCCAAGGAACAGTACCGCGAGCTGCAGGCCTACAGTAGGCAAATAAATGTGGACTTTACAGCCTCCGCCATGGATGAGGTAGTATCCGCCAATTAATCTTAATTGCTTGCTAGTTCTTTAATAAAACACAAACGACCTACTATTTTAATTTTTTTGACCTATTAGTATGTGTAAATATAATATTAATAAAATGTGTTCAGTAGGGTTCTAATAAGATAATATAAAATGCTAATACCTAATTTCAATGCTTGTAATCTATTATTAAAATAGATTGACCTGAATAATAGATCACGTTAAACTAATCTTTTTATTAGCTACATTAAAAATATTAATTTAATAAGACAGTAAATCCGAATAAAACTTTTTTTTGCTTTTTCAAAATTTTGTTCTTTTTATTTGATTCATATGCACTTTTCAAGCCCTATTTAAACAATTTGCTGTTAATAGAAAAAAAATTAATAATAATTCATACAATTTTTTTAGCGTTCGCTGGAATTTCTAGTAGAACTAAAGGTCCCTTTTATTAAAATTGGCTCCGGAGATGCAAACAACTTTCCGCTTTTGAAAAAGGCGGCCGGCTTGGGCGTGCCTTTGGTGATTTCCACCGGAATGCAGACCATGGAAACTGTGGAGAGGATTGTGCAGACCATGGCGGAGTCTGGAAAACAGGACTACGCTCTAATGCATTGTGTTTCATCATACCCAACTGCGCCCAAAATTGTAATTTGCAGTTGATACCCATGTTTAAAAGGCGCTTTCCCATGCTGTAATTGGTTATTCGGGTCATGAGCTCGGTGTAGCTATAAGTCAGGCCGCTGTTTTACTCGGAGCACGCATAGTGGAGCGCCATTTCACACTGGACAAGAGTCAGAAGGGCTCCGACCATCGATGCTCCCTCGAACCCCAAGAGTTGAAAGCTCTTACCACAGGATTAATCATTTTGAACTCTCGGCAGTTTCCGTGTCTCCCAATAAATATTACAAAAACTAAATGGCGGTCAGGAACTGGAGGACGCACTTCAGGAGGTTGAGCATAAAACCATTTTGTCCTGCGAGTTGCCCTGCCGAAATAAGCTGGGCAAATCCATTGTGGCAGCTAGAAGTCTAGAAAAAGGACACATACTGCAGTTGACCGACTTGGCCATTAAAGTTAGTGAACCAGCGGCCTGACTGCGGAGGCCTACTTGGATTTGGTGGGCAAGGAATTAGCAGGCAACATTGGTGAAGATGAACCCATACATGGGAGTAGTATAATTACTTAGGGGTCAAGATTGTTCAAAAAATACGAAATGTGGAATATAAATACAATTGTAAATAAAAGCCTGGGCTGTTTTACTCGGCCCATCGTCGCTGCCCTCCTCCTCGTTCTCATTCTCGATCATCTCGATGTCCTCCTCGAGATCGCCCTCCTTCTTGTCCGTCGGCTTCTCGTAGACAGCGGTTAGGGGAGAAACGCACACTCCGTTCCAGACGGACATTTCGCGCACAATGCTGGTATTGCCTTCCAGTCCCAGAATGTGTTTGTACCCGCCGTGGGCCAGCACGCGGAGCAGCGTCTGCGACGTGTAGCAGCACACATCCTGCTGCTCCAGGGTCATGGCAGTGTGCACCCGGATGTGACCCGGTTCGGTGGGATCCGTGATGCCAGCAGAGCCGGGCAAAAAGAGTCCAGCGGAGAGCAGCTGAAAGACGCGACGGAAGGCCAAATTGATGGGCAGTGCCTGACGCGACGGGTTGTTCATGATGGCCAAATGGGCGATCAGGTCCAGCATCCAGGCTGACAACGGCGAGAAGGCGTCAAAACGCCTGGTGAGATCCTTGAGAATGCGAATGAGCACCTTGATCGAGGAGTGGTGGGCGTTCTCCTCGAACCAACGCGTGTGCCGAATGGCAGCTAGATGGCTCTGCATCAGCTTGTGATCCAAGTGGATCTCCGGCTCCAGCTTGCGCAGGTTCTGCGGCAATGTTGCGATCAGAATGCGCACCTTGGCATGAACATTTGCGATGTCGAAGCCGCGCTCGTGGATCTGGATGGTGTGCTGGTCACCCTTGGTCAGCACCTCAGTCTTCATGCTGGCCTTCAGGTCGGCCTCCACCTTCTTGGCCAGGGCGTCGACCGACTCCTTGGTGGGGAGAGTCTTGAGGATGACCACCACATCGGCCACATTGTTGCCGGTTAGAATGGTACCCTTCTTGAACGAGCCCACCTGACGCACCTCCTCCAGTTGCTGTACATTAAACATGTGATATAGATTCTATATATTCCGCTAAGAATCATAAAATACTCACACAAGTGGTCAGATCACCGGGAGCCACCACCAGATTGTCCAGCACAGCCTGTACCTTGGTCACCAGATTCCCGATGGCCGTCTGCTCGCTGGGAGTGGGACTCAAGTCCTGGTTGCGCTTCAGCAGGGCCTGAAATGCAAACAGAGATCCCATTGAAGTCGACATGGGAACGCATGTGCGTTTATTGATTTACCGCAGTCAGAGCCGAATCGTCAACGGAGCCGGCGAGTGGCACTTGGGAAAGAAGACCTCCGCAAGGGTCAAGTCAAACGGGTGGCGAGGCACAAAGGTCTTCTTGAACGGCGGACGGATGCCCCCGCGCATGGGGCGGCCACCTCGAAGAGCTCCACGAACCATATTCCTGTGGGGATGAATTTTTACTTATTTTCGCAACGCCGGAGCGTTCTGTTTTTCTTTGAGGGATGAGAACAGTGTGACCGTAGGCAGACAGGCTAAAAACACCACAAATAGGTGCAACAGACTTTCTAAAACGATAGATGGATAAATATTTTTGGAGAGGGTCTTACCTTTTTCAAATGCAATTTCCAGGAAGGGCAGCAAATCATCTGACATACCTGTAATTAGAGACGTACCTCGGTAAGTAACTAAATTTTAAATGAAAGTAGAGATCAACATTGCTAATTTTCAGAAATATGGAGTCGTCAATATGCCGGTTTGCCTAAAAAGCGGGAAAACATGGTCATATCTACGAAGAGACGCTTGGAAAGCAGTTTCCATTGCGACCATGATATCTGAGTGCACCGGCTTTAAAATTGAACAAGGTGATCATTTCCCGAAACCATTTGCACTTACTGCATGCAAGATGCGCAAAATGCCTTCGATATAAAGAAAACCTACGAAAGAAGCTTCAAATTTTACTGCCAATTGAGCAAGGATTCCCTGAAAGGGAAGAGACCAAAAACGGACGATTCTCCAGCGAAGAACGAGGCGCTTGGGGAAGAGGACCATCCTGTTTTAGACTGCGACATCAATCAGTCGGGAAGCCAAACCCAGGAAGATGACAATGATGGAGACTGTAAGCCTGATGCAATAACAGTTCGCAGAAGTGCTCTCAATGTCAAAAGATCTTCAAGTCGGAAAAGGTTCTTAAGCGACACCTTCGAACCCACTCAGAAAACGACCGTCTAAATGTTCTCAGTGTTCAAAAACATTTAAGAACAATTCAAATCTTGAAAGACACGTGCGATCGCACACGGGAGAACGACCGTTCAAGTGTACCCAATGCCCGAAGGATTTTACATAAATTTTCATCTAAAGGAACATATGCGAGGGCACACAGGGAATCTTGTAAAGTGTACCCAATGCTCGAAAGGTTTTGCAAATAATTCACGTCTCAAGCGACACTTTCTGATCCACACAGGAATCCGAGCTTTTAAGTGTACCCAGTGCCCAAAAACTTTTCGGCAGAATTTCATTCTTCAAGATCATACGCGTGTGCACACGGGAGAGAGGCCGTTTAAGTGTTCCCAGTGCTCAGCGGCTTTTACAATGAAATCAAGTCTTCGAACGCACATGATAATCCACACAGGAGAACGGCCATTCAACTGCAACCAGTGCTATCTACTTTTTCCACCAAAGGACGACTTCAGGAGCATTTGCGAGTGCACTCAGAGAACGACCATTCAAGTGTACACACTGCCCAAAACTTTTAAACATAACTCACATCTTAGGGATCACTTGCGAACTCACTTGGGAGAACGGCCGTTTAAGTGCTCTCACTGCTCAAAATCTTTTAAGCTAAATTCAGTTCTTAAAAAACATTTGCAGATGCACATATGTGAACGACCTTTCAAATGTACCAAATGTTCCAAGGCTTTTGCGGAGAATACGCATCTTCAGGAACACATTCTAGACACACAGGGGTAAGACCGTTCAAGTGTTCTCACTGCCTACAGGCATTTACAAGCAAGTCAATGCTTCAGAGACACTTGCAAGTGCACTCAGGTGTAAGCCCGTTTAAGTGTACCCAGTGCTCCAAGGCCTTTTTAAGCAAGGCAATTCTTCGGCGTCACTTGCTCGTCCACTCAGGAGAACGCCCGTTTGAATGTACCCAGTGCTCAAAATCTTTTACCAGGAAGTCACATCTTAAGGAACACTCAGCTGTACACACTGGAGAACGACCATTCAAGTGTTCCCACTGCTCAGAAGATTTTAAATATAAGTCACATCTTAAGGATCACTTGCGGGGCATACAGGAATACTATATAAGTGTACCCACTGCTTAAAAACTTTTGAGAAGAGTGCCACTCTTCAAAAACACTTGCTTATACACAAAGGGGGAAAACCATATAAGTGTGATCATGCTCGAAGACTTTTGACTCAAATTTGAATCTTCAGGTGCACATTCGAGTCCACACAGGTTTACGACCTTTTAAATGTTCACAGTGCTTGGCCTGTTTTACCCAGGAGTCAAGTCTTAAGCGGCACCTGCGGCGAACCCATAACTTATAATTACACCGAACTGCCTTTTTATATACTGTGTTATGCTCGAAAAAAGCCGAATTAATAAATCGCTGTTGGTATTTCTTCAATTTTAAGGTATATTTATTTCTTTACATAAGCTCCAACCTTCATGTTTTAAGGAAAATAGTTAAAGTTGGGAAAATTCTGATAACAGTAAATTCCTGGAATAACCATTTTTACGACTAGTCATCCAGGTTCTAGGCATTTCTTGCATATCGACATTTTCCTTACTTGTTTTATACATTATGGTATCTTTTTTGTTTATCAGCGTTTATGAGTGGAACTGACTGAGACTTTCAACAAAGACGAAGTTTCGAGCTAACCAGAAGTTTACTCGAATTCTTTGTATTTTAATCAACATTTGTATTTTAAATGAACCAAAAAGCACACAAAATAAAATCACATTTTATCTATTTTTATTTTTGTAGTTCTACGTCATTGCATTTCTGTTTTTTGGTTTTATAAAAACAAATTTGGTCGGTGGAAACGTACATCAATACAAATTTCAACCTTGGGTTTAAAAAATATTTCTTGGTCCCCCCATTGAATCAAGTTGGTTAATTATATTACCTATATTATAATTTAACAGATTTATAAACAACGGGTACTTAAAAGGTAATTTTAAACTCTAAGACACTCATTATTCCTTATGGGTCTCCAAGTGTCGCTTCAGACTTGAACTCTGTGAAAAACTCTTTGAGCAGTGGGAACAGTTAAAGGGTCGTTCTCCTGTGTGGATGCGAATGTGTACCTGAAGGTATGATTGATCTTTAAAAGCCTTCGAACAATGGGAGCACTTGAAAGGCCGTTCTCCTGTGTGTACACGCAAGTGTCCCTGCAGATGTGCATTCGTAAAAAAAGTTTTTGAGCACTGGGTACATTTAAACGGTCGTTGTCCTGTGTGCGTTCGCATGTGTGTTCGAAGGGAATCATTCCTCGTAAAATCCGCTGAGCAGTGGGTACACTTAAATGGTCGATCCGTTGAGTGGACTGCCAGGTGGAGCTTTAGATGTGCATTACTTCCGAAAGTTTTAAAGCAGATTGTACATTTCAAAAGTTCTCCTGTATGCACAAGCAAGTGGTTTTGAAGGTGTGAATTACGTGTGAAATCCTTTGAGCAATGATCACACTTGAACGGTCGTTCTCCTGTGTGAACTAGCAAGTGTTCCTGTAGATGTGTCTTCTTAGTAAAACTTTTGGAGCACTGGGCACACTCGAAAGGTCGCTCTCCAGTATGAGTTCGCATGTGTTCCTGAAGATTAGCTTTCCTCACAAAAGTCGCTGAGCATTCGGTACACTCAAATGGTCGTTCTCCTGTGTGGCTTGCTAAGTGAATCTGTAAATTATAATTCCTTGCAAAAGTTTTTGAACAGTAGGTACATTTAAGAGGATTTCCTGTATGCACTCGCATGTGATAGAAAAGTTGTGTATTATACTTAAAAGTCTTTGAGCATTGCTCGCACTTGAACGGTCGTTCGCCTGTGTGAACACGCAGGTGATCCTGAAGATGGGAGTTACGTTTAAAGGCCTTTGAACACTGGGCACACTTAAACAAACGTTCTCCCGTATGCGTTTGCATGTGTGATAGAAGATGTGAGTTACGTTTGAAGGCCTTTGAGCACTGAGAACACTTGAACAGTCGTTCTCCCGTATGCGTTAGCATGTGTGTTTCCAGATGACCATTCCTAGTAAAAGCCGCTGAGCAGTGGGTACACCTGAATGGTCGTTCTTCTTCGTGGATTCGCAAATGTCGCTTAAGATCTTTTTTCGAGGGACATATCTTCGGACATTGAGAGCATGTATGTGTGCTGTTCTCCTCTCCATCACTACTCCCAGGCTCACAGTATCCATCACTCTCATAATCATCATCTTCCTCGATCTTTACCTCGCATTGGGATTGAATAACGCCACAGTCTGAAATGGGACTTGGACTGTGCTCCTCTTCGAAGGCGTCTTCGTCAAGTGGTTCATTCTTTACGAGGCATTGGTCTGATTGATGTTCTACCTTGCTTGGCAAATATTGCACAACAAACTGATAAGGATGTTCTATCTTGCTTGGCAAGTCTGACGATTCTTCTTCCTTCACAGGCACAACATTCTGGTCAGTAAAAAGGCCCCCTCCGTAGAGTTCTTTGATAACTGGCAATACAATTGGGAGCTCCTTTCGTAAGTGTTCTTAATATCAAATGCATTTCGCGCATCCTGAAGGCAGGTGGTACACATGGTTTCTGGCAGACGATCGCCTTTCTCAGGTTTGAAGCCGGTGCACTCAAAAATCATACTGGCAATGGAAACTCCAACTTCATGCATCCCCCAAATACATTGACCATGTTTTCACAGCTCTCCAGGCAAACGCGGCAACTTGACGAGCTCATCGCTCTGCAATTAAATAATAACAACTTAGGTATTAACTGACAATTGAATATACGTTCTTACGGATACATATGTGCCTATCTTAAGTCAGATGGTTTGTTTACTTCCTAAACATTGCGTTAGAGAAGTGTGGATTGATACTATCGTATACTTAGCAGGAGGCTATCGATAGGTACATATATGTACTATTTGGTACAAAATCTGTCTTTTTTTCCCGCATAACAAGTGTGCTTAAATCATGCGCAATCTCAAACGTAAACTATTTATCAATCTAGAAAAAAATGGAATAAACTTACGTTTAGCTCACACCCCTTGTTTCGCTTGAAGTCTCCAATTCCATGTTTTTGGGTCCTGATTACATTTTCCGAAAATAAACCGTAAAAACCGGAAACATTTGTTTGTTTAATGAGTTATCCGAAATAAATTTAAAAACATAAGTTCATGAAAAATAAAGCACACAGATTTTGTCCCATTGATTTCCATCGCCAATCAAATATTTCTCTACATTTTTTGACAAATAAATAGCTTGGCAAATTATAGTTTTGTATGTAAGCCGCGTAACGATAGTTATGGAGGCGTTGGAATTTACTTAAAAACATATACGCTTTAGACAAATCAACTTTGATATTAGCTTGGAAGTCATTGGTATCTGTACAATTAATCTAAGAAATAATATTAATATTTTCAGTGTCTATGCTGCACCCAGCACAGACATTAGTCCTTTTTTTACAAGGTTGCGATGATCTGTTTAACTGATCTAACTGTCATAGGTGGTGACTTTAATGCCAAATCCAGCATTTGGGGTAATAATACTCAAGATGCCAGAGGCGGCATTTTAGAAAATTCCCTCTTGCACTCCGGTTTCTTTTGCCTTAACAACGGCTCTCCAACTTACTCTCATAACCCATCCTATAGTTCAACACTCGATCTCACTTTCATTAATAGTAGCAATCTTTGTTCTAACTGGTCCTCAATAAATTCTAAAATATCAAATAGCAATAATTTCCCAATCTTAATTGAAATAGACCAATTTTCTGCTTCGACTAATATTATTAAATTTAACCATCAAAAAATAATTAAAGACTTTTTCAAAATTCAAATTACAACGTTAGGTAGCATCTCCAACTCGTCCCAAACAATACACTCTAACAATTCAATTAAAATAAATACAAACAATAGATATGTTCCAAAAAAGTATTGGGACGAGGTCTGTGAAAAACTGTTTAGATTAAGAAACGCGTGCAGACAAAAATATTTTAAATCCAAACTACAAACTGACGCTATTGCCTATATTAACAGTAATAAAAAACTTAACAACTATTTTTATAAAATGAGAAAAGAAAACCTCAATAAGCTGGCAGAAGACATTTCCAACCCCTCTTCACTGAAAGATATGTGGAACAAAATCCAAAATCTTAAACTTTATAAACAAATTAAACCGTTCAATAGTGCAATATCTGACTCAGAACATAGAGACTTTCTCAATCAAATAGCCACAGCATCCAACACTGCGATGTGTCCTGACGTATCTTTTTCTCCTGATCTGCTTTATAGATATGCCAACTCAAATTTCTCAGCGCGTGAACTTCTTGACTTCCTAAACTCTCGTAACCCAGATTCGGCTAAGGGTCTTGACATCATTTCATACAGAATGCTTTTGGCTCTACCCTTAAATCAAATAGAAAAACTGGTATCCCTGCTAAACATTACTTTAGACAATGGTGTTATTCCAGAACAGTGTCGGAAAATAAGGGTTATACCTGTTCCCAAAAAAAATCTTGACTCTGCAATTATCACCAACAAAAGACCTATCTGTCTTCTAAGTGTGACTTTTAAGTGCTTAGAAGGTTTGATTAAGTTGCGTATGGAAGAGCACATTAATAAAAATAAAATTCTGCCACCAAGATCCTATGCGTTCAGAAAAAACCATTCTACTGCCCAATGCATCAACGATGTGTTAAATAACATAGCCAACCTAAAAGCTCGTGGTTTCCACGTTACCGCAGCTGTTTTAGACTTAAGTAAAGCCTTTGATGCCGTCAATATCCCTATTCTGGGTAGCAAATTAGTTAGTTTGGGTTTCGACCACAATCATATTTATTTTATTATAAACTTCCTTAGTAAAAGAGTTCTCACTATGGGTACTGCAGAGGTTACAGTAAACAAAGGAGTTAGTCAAGGCAGTTGTCTGAGTCCAATCCTTTTTAATTTATATACAGCTGAGCTTCACAGCTTAAGTAATGACCATGACAGTATTTTGTTCCAGTACGCTGACGACTTCTTTCTAGTCTGTTATGACAAAGTCTTTTCGATGGCTGAAGAGGAATTAGAACAACAAGTAAATAGATTTATGGAACTGTGCAACATTAATAATCTTACTTTTAATCCAGACAAATCAGCCACCATTCATTTTAGTTTAAGGAAAGAACCTTTAAGTGTCTTGTGCAATAATATTATTTTAAAAAATTTAAATAGCATAAATTATTTAGGTAGTCATAAGTTCAAATAACTCGTCTGTTCAGCATGTAACTAAAACGATCTCTAAATCTAATCAAACGAATATGTTTATTCAAATGCTCAGTGGCTGCCACTTCGGAGTACATCCAAGCAAGTCATTACTTTTTTATAAAGCATTTATTAGAACTAGATATGAATATGCCTGCTCCTCTTTTTCAAACATTTCAAAATCAGTACAAAACAACATAAATAAGCATGCTAATTTCCACCTTAGAAAGGCCTTAGGACTAATTAAATCGACTCCAATTAATATTATTTATAATCTTGCAGCTGTACACTTCCTCCAGCTTATAGGATTAAATTCGCTACAGCGAAGGAGTTGGCCAAAACGTTCGCTCATGGACTACCATCTGCGTCGCTTCTGTCAAACTCCTTTGTAGCCAAAAATACTAGTTACAGTAGAATTTATGCTGAATTTAAAAATATCCTGGATAGTATTGCTCCTATTTGTCCTTATTCTCTGTCCAAACGAAAGATTTCAGTTGACACAAATTTCTTTAAAGGTACTTGTAAGAGTTAAAAAATGCCAAACGAAACTATAATTCTCTCTTTATTTGAAGAAAAAATAAAAGATTTAACCTCAAAAAATATGGAAATCATCTTCACGGATGGTTCTGTGTCGGAAAATTGTACAGGTAGTGCTTTTGTTCACTTAAATTCCAGTTCAATAAAAAGTTTCTACACCGACAAAAAACTGTCGTCGCTGACTGCTGAACTCACAGCCCTAGAAAAAGCCATTGACTTCGGTATTTCAAAGAAGTTCTCCAAGATAGCAATTTTAACTGACAGTCTTGGTGCCATCCAGACAATAAAGAACGCGAACTCCAAAAACTACATCTTGTGACGAACCCGCCTAGAAGGCGTGTGCGCCACAATCATTATTACTTTCTTTATAATAGCTTTGAGGGAAACACCGTGAACTACAATAAATATTAAGTCGAATTAAGAATAAAAAAGTTATAGCTAAGTTCAGAACCCGGGGTGGCAACGCCAACCGATAGTTCAAGATCATGTAAAATACTAGAAAAGCAAAGGCGCTAAAATACCAGTAGTAGGAAAATACTAGAAATCCGGAATACAGGAAAAGTGCGGAAAATGGAAGGCGGTCACGCAGCGATTGCGGGATCGGGCAAGACGTGTGATTTGGACCATCGCATTGCAAACCATGTTCTGGAAGGTATCGTTAAAAATCCTTGACCTTATCATTTTCGAAGACCTTTTCTCTTCAAAATATAGAGTTTCCAATTAGTAATCATATTTGAAAACAAATAAATTAACTAAACATTCATATCTTTTAAAATGTGTAACATCATGATCAAATAAAAAGGAAAGTTATATAAATTATAGACTTACATTTTGGGATTCGAATTAGTAAACATATTTGGAAACAATAAAACATATAGTCTTATTTAAAAGAGAAACCAATGATAAGGAATTCGGGGGCTTTAAACTACATATTTGGTATTGACATAAAATAATACAACTGTTTTGGAGCTCTTGAAAAATAAGTAACAGTGAATAAAAAATCAACCAATTCCATAGAACTTTTAAATAAAATGAGTTAATTAAGGCGAATTTAAATGGTTATTCCGAAGCTTCTTTTTTAAGAAATTCCTAATTAATTTTAGTTCCTCCTACCTGCATGCCCTTGGGTAGGCTTTCTGTGGAGAAGGCGTTCTCTCCTGAGGAGCGACAGGACGCCTACGCCCTGCTGATGGCCGCGGCACACGTGGGGGGTGCCAACGGGGGAGCAGCCTGGGCCTCCTCCTGCGGCTCCTGCAGGTGTGGTGGAGCCTGGTGTTGGAGGCGCCTTGAATTCTGGTTGTGGCGGTGGTGGCACCTGGAATTGTGGCTGTGGCGCCACGTATCCCTGCGCAGGGTACCACAGTGGCGGTGGCGCCGCAAATCCTTGTGCAGGATACCACCCCTGCGCAGGATGCCACTGTGGCTGTGGCGCCACATATGCCTGCGCAGAATTCTGCGTGGCGTAGAACTGCGCGGCCGCCGCCATACCAGCAGCCACCGCTCCCATCATTGCCTGAATTGCTAAATTTGGAATAACAATTATACTTATGCCGACCAGTGTAGATTCCTCACGGCCGCATTTGTGCAAAAAAAAAAGAATATACACGTTTGCCTAATGTTTTTTTTTGCTATTTGATAGCATTTTTTAAGCTCTTTGCTTAGTGTAAATGCAAACTAAGCAAACACTAAGCAAAGAGCTAAAAAATGCTATCAAATAGCAAAAAAAAAACATAAGGCAAACGTTTTTTGTCATTATTTTTATATTATTGCCAAAAAACAAGCGGTCGCGAACAAAAAATGTAAGTCGTCTTTGGCTAAATCACAAAGAATTTGTACTTACCCTCATTTATTCTGTTATCCATTTTTTCACTTTTAACTCTTCACTTTGTTTTGATTAAAAATTTAAAAAAAAAACCGTATTTACCGTTCTATGCAGTGCTGCCAACATATGCTGAGAAAAAAAGCTGTTTTCGGCGGGGCAAGCGTGGAAAATAAAGCTGATTTTTTTGCCAAATAAAGCTGAAAAAAGCGCAAAGATTTTTAAACAAATTTTGCTATTATAGGAAATACAAATATCTGTATTATTGGAA